GATATATATATATATATATATATATATATATATATATATATATATATATATATATATATTCGAAATTAGTGTCTGGTCATAAAATTTCTAATTTTCACTTGAAAATGAATTTTGGAATTTTTCGAATTTGAAAAACTTCAAAAAGCTATTTTTCAAAATTTTCACTCAGATCACCCACAAAACTTCAAATATAACCCAAAACTATATTCATGTCCAGACACTACTCTAATTTTCAAATACCATTTCACTTGAATTTTTTTTTTACTTTTTTTTTTTGAAATTTCACCATTTTTATGTCCAAACGCGTACTAAATTACTGAATTTTAAATTAATAATTTATAAATATTCAATAAATTTATTAAGACAATATAAAGTTTGAACCAAAGTACTCGAACCGTTATTTTCAAGGGTAGCTCTGCCCCTGCCTTTAGTCTCCCTTGTCGTTGCTCACCGCCACACTACACCAATATTAGCATTTCCAATATATATATAGAAATTAAAAAATCCAATATCATTTGGATCCATTGATATGCATTTTATCTTGGGAAATTACCAGCTATGTCCATTTATAAGTAGCTCATTACAAAAATTGGCCAATTGATAAAATATTACTACTATTAGCCAAATTAGCCAATTAGCTATTTGTAGCAAAAAAATATCAAATTTTTGCTTTGTTTTGAGTGAGTGTTATTAGAATAGATTGGGCACAACTTAAGGAGCTTGAATCTCAGTTTTGGGATGATTTGGTGAAGTTTTGAGGTGGTTTGAATTGAAAATTCGAAGTAAAAGCTGAACATGACAAAAAAGTGATATGTGTATCATTTGTGTATCACATATGTATCATATTTGTATCAATTGTGTATCACATGTATATCCATGTATACCTGTGAGTGAGATACATGCGTGATACATGTTTGATACATGTGTCGCAGAAGACTTTTTTTAACTCGATTTAATTATGAATTTTGATACAAAACCAGTTCAAATCGCCTCCAATCTTCCTCAAATTTTGTATATTGACTTATCTATATATTTTCAATAGATTTCAACTATACCCATTGAAAAAGTTCCTTTTTTGTTTAGATTTTTTGAATATTGTATAGATTTTTGTATTTCATCACCTTATTTGCTACCCCGTTCATGAAATTTCCTTTCCGTCTTGTATCTAATGTTGCTAATCACGCTTTAAAATATGGAAGGTGATTTTTGCATGTGATTCTTTGAGAGAAAGAACCCTATTATTTGGTTTTCTAATTTTTGGTGGCTAGTTTTGGTAAGTCTATGACTAATGACTAGAGGTTGGTAAGTTGAGATTTATTTGGGACATTTTCGTAAGTTTCCCATTTATCTTTCATCTGCTTAAACAATTGTCGTGTGTGTCGAACTGTGTGACCAACTCGTATGGAAGTTTAAACCGTTAGAGATGATACACTTTATTTACTTAATTATATCTTTGATAATATATATATAAAAGAAACCCAACTTACATTTGAATTACTATATTACCCCCTTTATTATTTACCTAAATAATATTTTCTTTTTTTTTTTCTGAAAACCCTTACAAATAGTTGCACAAACTCACGCCTACAAGGAAAAGTCACTTAACGAAATGCATGGTGGCAAGTTTTGATGTGAAGAAAGTATCTCTTTAAACTACATCGAAGGGGTACAAGTGATTGAGACATAGATGATTATCATCCATCCACAATCCCTTGACTCTTGGATGTGATTACAATTCGTGAATAAACATTACGCTTGTTGATCTACAACTACTGCTAGCTAGAATAAAAGGAGTAACAGGTATGCTTTTTGGCTTGCTTTCTCTTCTTGTTTAAAAAAAAAAACACAAACTTTTCTCATCTAGAATAGTTTCACGTATCTTGCTATGGAAATCACTTCTTTTATACCTTAATCCATGCTAGAAGAGTTATTATAATTCCATGTCTCTTCAACAAAAAATATATGGTAAGTTGGGGGATGGAGGGTGGAGATAGTTGAAGAAGTTAAAAGAAACGAAATCTTGAAATTAATAGTTACGTACAAAATTAATATATAACAAACTCATGAAAAACACAATTGAACATCAAGCTTCAAGTTTTCTTAATTAAGATTCAAATGTTTATTTTTTAAATTATCAATTAGGTCCTCGATTGTCAGATAAGCTGATTAATTTGATTTGATATGTTTTGTTTTCTAAATTAATTGATCAATTATGAGGTCTTTTCTTTTAAATTGTGATTGCTGCACTTTCATTTAGCTGATTCTACATGTGATGAGATGTCTTAATGCCTGTAAATGTTTCAGGAAAGCCTATGCACGTAGTGTACTCCCTCCGCTTCACACTAAGTGACCAATTTGCTTTTTTGTTTTGGTCCAAAATAAGTGTCCATTTATATAATCAAGAAAATATTCAATTTGTTTTTACAAAATTACCCTTATGTACGTATCCCTAAAAAGTCATTTACTCCTCACATTTGAGAAGAGAAGTAGTGCTACTATAACTATGGTGCAACATTTAATGAAGGGTAGTTTAGTCACACTAACTATTTTCGTATAGGATTTAGTATTTCCTTAATGGGTGTGCCAAAAGCAAATTGGTCACTTATTGTGGACCGGAGGGAGTAACATTTATGATCGATGTTGCTCATATTATGACAAAGGTATGTTTCAGGGAGTCTGTCCTAGGATAGTATTGTTGGTGATTTATTCTATGTTCTATTTTATAATTCCAGTATGTGAATTTTACATAGTTCATCTTTTTTGGTTAATACATTTCCCATAATACAGTAACATCAACATGTGCATCTTAGATTTATTTTAATCAACTTTACTCTATGAACATTTAGTTGCTTTGGAGTTCAAAACAATTAGCAGTTTTCGGATTGCTAACTACTTTGTTTTTTAAATAATCCCTTTTCTGTTTGTATTTAGTTTCCTCTTGTCTTATAGTCACACGCTTACTACCTTTTGTTAGTTTTTGCCAAAAAAAAAAAAAACGATTAGTTGTGATCAACTCAGCCAGTAATCTATTTTATAGGAGTGATCATTTGCTGTAATGAGTTTGTGAAACCTTTAATACCTTTTGTTGGTTGAATAGAAAAATTTCCCATTCACGACTGTTATTTTGTTTGGTTTTATATTTTGATAAGTAGAAGTTATATTGATACAGCAAACAACAATAATGGAACATAGAAAATCTAATGGTGTGTGTATTTCTCACATACAATGTCCAACATACACCAAAATGCTAGCAAATGCATTAATTTGAATTTCTCCTCATAATTTATCAGCCACATCTATTTACAATTAGCAACTGAAACGTTAGGTGTTTTGATTCATTGATTTAATGGATAAGAGGGTGGGGGCAAGCAAAATATAGTCTGTATTTGGAGATGCACTAGGTGATTTGTTGTTCATGAGTTTTCACTTTTCTGGACAATTCTTAATGTTGGATAGTATCTACTGTAACATGTTTTCTCACATGATCAACTTTATGATGCATTTTTAAGAGGGACATCAATATCAACAACAAGAGTCATGCTCATGACAGAGCAACCAAAACGGATGAAAGGAACATACAACAGGAATATCGTTTATAAGGAAGTACTAGGTGGGATACGTTTCAATACATGTTTGTAACTCATAAAGTCGAAATAAGCATAAAAAAACACATGTACCTAATTAAACTTTGATTGTTCTTTTATGTAGATTCAGACGATATCCAATCATCTTGACCTCGGCAAACAAGTTGCCATACAGCTATACACATTAAACTTTGATTGTTCTTTTCTAACTTGTATTCTTCAATAGATATATTAAAGATATATTGTTGCTTTCTTCTTTCATTTCTATGATGAATTAAACATGGTGCAGTTGGAAGAAATGATTGAGCCTTTGAGCCCAATTGGTGAAGTGGAAGAACCAGAGGAAGAAGAGAATGAAGAAGTAGAAGATATCAGCTACGATGATCTCAAGAGGCGCATGTGGAAAGACCAGATGTTGTTGCAGAAGCTCAAGTCTATGCGAAGCAGCAACAAAAAAGAGATTATTGATGATGAGTCACAACAGGCAAAGGCGCAAGAACAATCTCGCAGGAAAAAGACATCCAGAGCTCAAGATTCTATTCTCATGTACATGGTAAAAATCATGGAGGTGTGCGGAGGTCAAGGCTTTGTATTTGGGATAGTGCCAGAAAGGGGAAAGCTGGTAACGGGCTCTTCAGATAGCTTGCGAGGTTGGTGGAAGGAGAAAGTGAAGTTCGAGAAGAATGCCCCTATTGCCATTGTTGAATTCTTGCCCAAACTACTGGTGCAGCAGCAGGAGAATGATATATTGGATCCTTCCTCCTCATATATGCATCTTCTTGAAGAACTGCAAGACGCCACTTTGGGCTCACTGCTTTCTGCCCTGATGCAACATTGTATCCCTCCACAGCGAACGTTTCCTTTGGAGAGAGGATTAAGCCCACCTTGGTGGCCCACAGGGAAGGAACTGTGGTGGGGTGACCAAGGATTCTTGGCCCAGGAACAAGGCCCACCACCTTATAGGAAGCCCCATGATTTGAACAAGGCATGGAAGCTTAGTGTTTTGGCTGCAGTTATCAAACATATGTCTCCTGATTTAGGCAGGATGAGGAGGTTGGTGATTAAGTCCAAGAGCTTGCAAAACAAGATGACTGCTAAAGAAACATCTACTTGGTGTAAAGTTGTTAACCAAGAACAAGCCCTTCTCGAGCTCACACAAAGGGCCCTCAAGATTTCAGAAGATGAGGACGAGAAAGAGGATAATCTTGCTTTTGATGGATCTACTAGTACTTTGATAAGAAATGACATGAAGAGGAAGTCCAACTTTGAGCACCATGTGATGAGCATGGAGCTAGATGTACTTTACGCATGCCAAAACTTGAGCTGCCCACAGAGTGGTTTAGGTTTGGGATTTGTTGACAAGAATTCAAGAATCGAACATGAGATAAGCTGTTCCCATCGTGATGATCAGCAACGACTTAATTTGGCCATCAATAGTACTACTTTTTCTAGCTTGATCAATGAGGCACAATTGAAGCCACATGAAGAAAGTATATTGGGTAGAGAAAGGGAGATTATTTTCCAACAAGATTTGATGAACAATATGGAGGTAAAAAGTAGCTCTGGAAACTACCATACACAAATATCAGGCGGGGTTCTGGAAAATTTGAAAAACTTTTGGGGAGACAATAATGTTGTCCTTGAACAGCTGGATTATGATCTGACAACTAATGGGAACATGAACTCAAATGGAGCTCCATCACAAGATGTTGATCTAAATTTTGAAGCTGCAACTTGTATTTGGGATCTGGCTTATGATGATAGATTTGAGGGTTGAAAATTTAATAGTTGCAGCTAGAGAGATCATCCTGTCATGTTTCTAGGTTATCTGCATTTGTTGTTTCGAGAAATAAAGTTATGAATATATATAAAACTTATCTGTGTAATAATTTTCTTTTCTTCTTTCACGTTTTGTCCTATGTTTCTTTTAGATAATTTATAAAGGGCTTTCTTCAGGTATGGCTATGCTATACTGATCTTGGAAAGGAGCAAATAAAAAAAAGTGTTAATTACGTATTTCAATACTGATATAAGAGGGTGCTAGCACTTCGTTAAGACTCTCAGGATACACTATAATATTTTAAAGTTAAGAGTACTTCAGCTATCCAACCAACGGCTGAAGTAGTTAGTCGTGGGGCTAAAGCCGCAGGAATAGTTGGTTTTAAGTTTAAGCTTTACTAGTAAATAGTTGATATCTTAAATTCAGGTTAGATATCTGATGTATTGTAGGTCTAACTTTTATCATTTTAACACGGGTCAGTAAGTTGGTGTATCCTAATTGTTTGTTCAGTCAGTGAGTAGGTTGTCCGGTGTACTTAATCATGTCAACCAATCGAGAATAGTTAATCGAAAGATCTTGCAAAGAACCCAGACACAAGATGCATAGCCAAGCAATGTTTTAAGAGAGGAAAATTGAAGGAGAAAAAGAGGGATATATACAAGAGATGAATGATAGTAAATTGAACATAAAACCTGAGGAGGTGCCGATATCCCCATCTCGATCCTCATCCATTCTTCTTTTTCTCGAAGAGGGCGAGTCTTCCTCATCTTGAGACTTCAACTAGGGGAAAAGACGGAAGATGGCAGTCAACTAGTTACATATTTCCTTCCCACCAACCTTGAGGTATGAAGTGATTAGAGAACACACCATCAGGTCTGCCACGACGATCATGACGACTAGGAAAAATACTGGCACACCCGTTGCCACCATCACCTCCTTTAGCCCATATGCAGCAATCTATCATTCTTCTTTCCTGTACAGAAATTTGTATAAATGGACAAATACATAGTGCTCTCCTACTAACTATATCGCAATCTGGTTCTAAATGATACACACCAACTTACCAACCCATGTTAAATGATGGCGATATTTAGTAATTTTCATCATCTGGTTCTAAGATTTCATCACCTGCTAGCATGGGTGACAGCAAAAGACAGGAAATATCTAAAATTTATGCAAGTGATACATTAAACCTTCAACGAGAGATAATAAAGAGAAATTTAAGGCAGCTCAGTTTAGGTATATGCACACGAACTTTGGCGAAGAAGAATGTCTTCAATGAATAAACTATTCCTGTGAAGCCAAATCGACAGTAAAGATGATCAGCAAATGAGTAACATCCCGATACTTTGGCGTGAGAGCAGTTAAATATGCAATTCCTTAAAAATGTATGACAAACAAATTGCATCAAATTTAGCCTGTTCAAGCCAGTGCATAGAAAAAGAACGTTTAAACCATTCTAGAGCTAAATGCTACATTTTCCATTTATGTAGAACAAATTTATGCACTTAAATGTAGTCAATTCAATTACGTGAATAACTCAACAATAATAATTGTGTTGTTTTTATACAGATAAACTTCAAATACTTCAAGTTATTAACCTACTTCCTAAATTTTGTACCTTCCAGAAAAGGGGGATCTATACTATGAAGAAAATATCCCAAGTTCTTTCGAGAATTTTATCAAACATCTACCAGACAATGTAGTTTTAACTAAGGAATAGGTTCTTACGAGATCAAATTAAAGGCGGCAAAGAATGGACATAAAAACAAACTCAGGCTTGAAGATTCATATTAACAAGGTCATAATTTATTGTCTAGTACAATTAAGATGCTGGTGGCGTAATCTGTTTCGCTTTTTAACTCTTGTTCATGAACTTTGTATATACCATTTCAATATTCAATGTAAAGATCACCTCATTGCCGGATTCTTTATTCTGCTACTTTTTAAAGAAGAAATCATGTAGTAATAAATGAGTTTTTTATTTATACAAATAGTACTTTGAGCTTGCGGTATAAAGAGATTGACAATACTTCTTTTATCTTTTGAGTTGTTTTTTATCCGAATGGGATGAAAAAAATGAGGTTGCTTCTTATTATGAGTTATGATTAAGTTCATGATCTATTTGAAATAGATGGCAATATTTAGTAAAATTTGAAGAAATTTTTACATTTCTATACCACATAGGAAATCTTTTTACCCTACATGTTTAAGGTTTGAGTAAATTACACTTAGTATACCAAATTACCAATCTTATACCATACTTAATTAAGGGTCTAATTAATGGGCTATTTTTACTCCTTAATTATAGGTATCCACATCTAATTAATGGGCAGTTTTTACTCCTTAATTAAAGGTATCTATATATCTCGCGTTTCTCTCTCCTTACCCCTCACCCCCCACCCACGTTTTTACCCATACCCCACATTTTTTTTACCATTTTCCCTCTTCTGTAACCAAACAAAATTCCACATCGATTGTGTTCTGCTTTTTCACATCACTGATGAATACTCAACAGTTTAAAAGATAACGGAGAGCCATTATGTCTTTTGGAAAAGTCAAAAATGAAAATAAGTAAAGCAAATGGTTTAACACTGTTTTGCCGCAAAAACGAGTACCATTCTTTGGTGAATTCTATAACAATATGGGTATTTTATCAACAAAATCACAAAAAAACAGGGCAAATCTTCCCATGCAATTGCAGATACGACTCATAGTTTTTCAACATAGATTGTAGTTTAATTGTAGTATAACTGTAGTAGTTTTGTAGATACCCTTAAAAACAATACTGCTTTATACAATACTTAAACTAATTTGTAGTTTATTTGTAGATGTTTTGTAGAAAATTTGTAGATGAAGAGAAAATTTTGTAGTCAACATTTTTTTCCAACATAGATTGTAGTTTAATTGTAGTATAAATGTATTAATTTTGTAGATACCCTTCAAAACAATACTGCTTTATACATACATAAACTGATTTGTAGTTTATTTGTAGAAAATTTGTAGATGAGGAGAAAATTTTGTAGTCAACATTTTTTTTCAACATAGATTGCAGTTTAATTGTAGTATAAATGTAGTAATTTGTAGATACCCTTAAAATAATATTGCTCTATACATACTTAAATCATTACGCTGATGTGCAGTCTTCTTACGGGATGTTGGTGTTATTATCACGGGGAGAATGAAGTTTTGAGAAGAGAAGTCCAAAACAATTTTATATTTGTCATACAAAAATTTTGTGGTCAGTAAGATGCTTGAATTTCATTATGATTGTATTCTTTCGCCCTGAAAATTAGAAATCCTTTTTCCTTTCTTTTGTTTTATGGTTTTAGAGGAAAAAGGCATTATCTTTCCCAAAAGGGTAAGCATTTTTCTGTAGTAGATATAGAGATCAGTGGTAGTGTATAACTGTATGTACCAATGCCTCAACTCACAGTGCCTTCTCCTGTATCAATATCAAATATCATGAAGAATGTTCTTGTTCTCGTTCTCCTCTCCTGATGAGAATAGATTGATTCTGGGCTCCTTAAAAATTTGTGTCCAACTTCAGCCATGAAAAAACCCATGAAAATCATCAAACGCAACAAAAATCCAGCGAAAACAGCCCCAAAAATCAGAGAAAATCAGCATCAAACTCAGCATTTGCTCGACGGTATTGATTTTTGATGACCTTTTTGTTCGGATCAATGACGGAGAGTTGATACCTGATTTGGAGATGGACGCAGAGATTTTTGCTGAATTTTCAGTTAGTTGGGGGGATGAATCTTATGTGAATATGAAAAAATATTTTAGTCCCAAATTTGTAGGCGCCTAATTTGGAAGGAATAAGTTATTCAAATATTTATCCCAGATTTGTAGGCGCCTAATTTGGAAGGAATCGGCTCTTAATATGGTATTTAATGAATGGTATAAATTTTGTAGGAAAAATATAAACATAGCGGGTAATAATGGAAATATGCACATTTTTGGTAATAAGGTTTCATATATGGTATAGATAGGAAAAAACCTCAAATTTGAATTCAACAAACTTGGAGCCCGTTTGGACATACAAAATTTTTCTTTTTTTTTTAAATTTTTTTTTGAAAACAATGTTTGGTTATCCCATTCTTACCAATTTTTCCTTTTTCATTTGAAAAACCATTTTCAAATTTGAAAATCTGGTTCTCACCACTTTTTCAATTGAAAATGGGAATTTGCTAGTTTTTAGTTTTACCAATTTACCCTATATTTTAAAATTTATAAAATGACCCCATTAGTTTTTCATCTTTGGCAGATACATCTTTGGCGACTGATGGTGGAACATCAGTCCTAGTTGATTTTGCATCTTCTGTGTATTGCAGTAAAGCAAAATATGATAACAGTGAAACAATAGCATTTTGATTGTTTATTTCAAATAGGATAATCAAATTGGGATGGTTTTGATATTTTTACAAGTTGTGGGTATAAATCATGTTTCATGATTTTGAAAAAAAAAAAGACATCCAAATATATTGCAAAAATTATAACCAAACACAATTTTATCTTCAAATCAAATTTTAGTGAAATTCCAAATTCGAAAAAAAAAATCCGGAATTCGTGTCCAAACGCCTACTTATTTTATTTTTAGTAATACTTGCTTATAGGAATGAGATGACATATTTAAACCCAAAAGATCTAAACGAAATATTTACTATGCTATAAACTTGTTTAATTTAAATAATAAAATTCAAATATTCTTCTTTCTATGATCTTAAGCTTCATGGCTAGTCAACCTAGGAGGAAAACTTATTTTCGAGACGATGCAAGAAGTTTTAGAAGAGTAAAAGTATTCTTGTAATATTTTTTTTCAAATAAATGCAAGACCTAGGTGTTAGAATTCTTGGGATTTAACGAATATGGAAAATTTTAAATGATTTAAGTGTTCAACTTGCCTTATGGGAGAAAATTAAAATATGATTACCATTTAAATCTTCATCATTCTTAATTTCCATTAAGTTTCATATCGAATTAATTAAGTGAATCCTATTGTAGAATCGTTCCATTCCCCCTGATAGCCGCAAACTATTTTCCTGGAGTTGATCAACGTTGACTTATTTATTCACGCTTTGCACGTCTTTTCTTTCTACTATTACTTAAATACTTTTCTTTTAATTTGCACAAATTGACAAATTATTAAAATAACTCTATAAATATAGTTAGTAGGTTCCCAGTACAGTAGGGGACCGAGATTTGGTCCGTTTCTAAATGTTTGATTCCACTCTATATAAAGACATAACAACATTCTTAGTTAGTAGAATCTAAGCAAAAGAGGAGAAAGGAGAATTCCAATTCAGGGAATAAAATTCTCCTTTCCCCATATTGGATAAAAAAGAACAAACAATAGAATTTCTTCGTCGTGGTCTTCTCATCATTCTTCCTACCTAGAAGCTTCATTTTAAACTTCCAAGCAAAGGACAATGTAAGTTCCCTTCAACTCCTATGTATATAGGAATTAAACCAAGAGTATAGGATTTGATATTTATTAGTTTATTTAATTCACATCTAGTTAAATTTTGTTTGTCAAAATTATATTCGGAATACGTTTTATGTTTTCACTCAAATTTGATTTTGTTAGTATTGTAAATAGGGGTTTCATCCCTCTTCATCAACACTTGTCACTTAGTTTGCGTAACTAGAAATTGAAGCAATAGAGTGCTGATTGTTGTTGTTGTTTTCTTTTTCTCGTCTACAGTTCCTCAAAGTCTTTTCGTGTTAGTATGTCTACGTTAAATGAAAAACACATCCAAAGGATTTTCGACAAGCTTGATGAAGATGGTGATGGATTAGTGAGTTTAGGTGAACTCAAAGGCCTACTTGATAAGATTGGAGCTTGTACGGATCTTGACGAGCTCCAATCTTTGGTAGGAAAAACGAGCCTAAACTTCATTGATTTCTCCCTCTTTTACGAGGCGATGGTGAAGAAAAATAATGGGGATGAAAAGAGAAAAGAGGAGAATAATTTGGAAGATGATCTTGTTGAAGCATTCAAGGTGTTTGATTTGAATGGAGATGGTTTTATTTGTTGTGAGGAGCTTCAAAAAGTGTTGTCAAGATTAGGGTTATGGGATGAGAAAGAAGGAAGTGATTGTAAGAGCATGATTCATATGTATGATACTAACCTTGATGGAGTTCTTGATTATGAGGAATTCAAGAACATGATGTTGGTTTCTAATTCTGAGGGTATTCCTAATTTGTAAATTATTGACTATTCATTCATCTTTTTGAAACTTTCTACATTAATTAATTGTTGTGATATATGACTACTTGTATGGTGTTTAACTTCCTTCTTGTATTATTCCATAGTAAGACTAGTATATATTTGCTAAATACAAAAGCTATTGCAAGAAGTAGAATATTAAATACTTGAAATAAATTTAGTGTCTTACATAAAAACATTTCAGCACTTGGAGCTCGTACTTTGGTCTAGACAAAAGGTGTTTCCGCTGCTAATTAAGAATAATTCTCTTTGATTAGGAGATATTCATGAACAACTCTATCCTTTTATCCAAGCAAATATAGCGCAAACATCGGCAATCAACAACATAGTTTTTTATGGAAAATTTTGAAAATCCAAAAAACAAAAATGTGACTTTTTGTCTTGTATTTATATATATATACATATNATATATATATATATATATATATATATATATATATATGGGAGAAAATCTGTGAATAGTGAATGAAAAAGTCAGTATAGGTGATCAACTTAATTTGATGGTGTAAAAAAAGAAAGAATTACGACCCTTGTCACTTGGCCTAGCAGCCCAATCGAAAATGGCCCAGATTTGAAGCTCTTATCATATTTAGCCCATGTTGTACATAATTTGAAAGAAACTTTTCAGCCTTTAGCCTATTATTAAAGGCACACTTTTAGGGTTTTTATTATTTTCTTCTTTCTTCATTCCGAGCACACCAAATTCTCTCTCACCGCCTCTCGCTTCTTTCTTTCCAACCCACATAGATCCCTCATCCTCTCTTAACCTAGCCCCCACTATTCCCCCTCCCCTACCCCCTACGCAGTTCTGCCATAAATGGCTAGAAGAAGGCTCGGGCTCCTACTCCGTCGTCCATGTTGGCTAGCAGAAGAATATTGAAGATTTTTGAAATTGGGTCTGACTCTTTGCAGTTTGAAACCTTAATTTCCAATGTCTGGTCGAGCTCCGAGGAGAAAAGATCGGAAGCTAAATCAATCTTCAACACGATGAAGCAGAAAGCTCCAAACTTGCTTGTTCTTAAGCTTGTTGACCTTCTTGGCTCATCGCAAGTTATTGATTCCCGTGATATGTGTGTTGTCCTCCTTGAAGTCTCGAATCTGAAATTGGGTGTATCGTATCTGTGCGTTGAATTCCGAATCATTGGTGCAAAATTGCTAACCTATAAACGAGTTGAATCATCCAATACCTTCTACTGCAACTCCGAGGCTTGGATAAAAATCATAACTATATAGCAGTTTGTATAAACACTATATAATAGTGTATAATTGTGTATATGAATATACAAACACCTCTTATACACTATTATACATGTTTATACAAGTTATACAGTATTGTATAATTGTGTATAAATGTGTATATTTGTGTATAATATTGTATAATTATATAATTTTTTCAGTTTATAAGGATGTATATACATTGTTAGTGTGTAAGAGGCCTCTACGGAAGTTTGACACTTCCTTCTCTTCTTCTTTTTCGTGTATGTGCTGTATAAAAAAGATTTGTACGCGTTGGAGGGATTTTACAATTCATTTACCAAGTTTTTATTTTTCTTTTATCCTGTTGGATTGTTTCAGCAGTTGCACATAATAGTATATGAAAACAACTGGTTGTATAAAGAGGGAGCAATAACCGTAGTTGATTGTGTGAAATAAGTTGTCTTTCGGGAATTAGCCTATTATTTTTGGGCTGTAGATTTGCAAAGTGGTATCTAGGCTATTATGTTGCAAGTCAGGTGTGTGAGTTGTATTTATGTGAAACTATCCCGTAAAAAATGTACCATCAACTTAATTTATCCGGTTATAGCAGACTATTACTTTATTTCAATTTCTAAATTATTATATCAGGTTTGCTATGATGAGTTATATGTTATAATAGATCAACTTTACTTCGAAAAATGACATTGTATAGCCGCTGTAAAAATAATATCCGAAAAAGTATTAAATTTATATATTTTTTGTATATATACATATTTTGTATGTTATATACAAAACTTATACAAGTTTTATATACTTTTTCCGCTACCAAATGTAAATAGTTTTTGGCGCGAATTAAAAGTGATAATATCCCTAACTTAATTTGACTGCGTAGTGCACAAAATTTAAACTCACTAATTAATGTGCGGGACGAGAATTCCCCATTCATTCCTTATTGTACTACCCCGTTGTTTTGTTTGTCTGGTTAAGGCAAGAAAACCTACTCGTAAATTGAGTCAACATCTTTATATATGCGTGTGTTCAGGTGCGTACGCAAGATTTTTGTAAGTGATATCAATATTTATAGAAGAGCAGAGAAAAAATAATAGTATTAATTATCATATTACTCAACAAAAAATAACCTTACTCCATCGGTTTTATAGTCTTAAGTTAGAAGAGGTTGTGAGTTCAATTTTGCCTCACCAAAATTTTTAGCAATAGAAGCTCTCTTAAATATTTGAAAAAATATGATCTAGTTATGGTTTGAACCTCTGGCCTCCTAGAAAAAAATTAGGAACTTAACCAGCGTGCCAAGAAATAATATATGTCAAGTGGTGTCATTTTCTTTATTTTATTATATCCGTACAGTATTACTAAATATATTTCATAAAAAATTTTGACGAAGCGGTGTTGCGTGATACCGCTTAGTTCCACATGCATCCGCCCCTGTGTGGCAGGATTTTTATATTTGATTTTGGCAGGATTTTTATTCGGAGCAAGTTATGGTGATCGACACAAAATTCTGACGATCACCATAATATAATTATTGTGCAAATATTTCATCATGATCTTTTGCTTCAAAATTGATCTAAATCAACATCAAATTAAATAACTCAAAATTTTAATATACAACCTTCTAATACCAATTTTAACAATTTTTGCTCCAATTTTAACAATTTTTGCTAGTTAAAATTAATGAAACTTTAATAGGGTCAAAATATAAAGTGGTCGTAAAAATGTTCATTCAGCATCATTTCCAGGTGTTAAAAAGGCATTCACTAGAGAATTCAAAATGGAAAAGCCACGACTTAGATTAAACATCTAATAATTAAGGATCAGTACCCTACTTATGGCAGGAAATACCATAACATTTGGAACTATATATGATTAGCGATTATTGATGACCAGCGGGTAACAAAAGTGTTTACCTCGAAAAATGTAAGTAACAATTAAAGGTGATTTGTGGTTTTAAAGATATGTGATTTATTCCAATACTAGTGAATATACAAGTAATATTAAGTTTAAGTAAAAAGAATTGATGAACCAAACCAGTGTTGTTAGAGCAACAGGGACCTCGAGCTCGATTATCTCGGGGGCCTCGAGGTGAGTTAAGAGCAAATAAAGTAAAAACAATAAAGCGGAAGAGCAATTGTGGAGCACAGTAAACGAGAAAAGCAGAATAGAATGTTCTATTGTAGTGAATGAGATGATGTTTACAAATGATTGGGGTCCCCTTTATATATAAGGAGAAAATCCCAATATGGTACATTTTCAATTATGGCAAGGAATTCTATTGGTACAGCTGTATAACAACCTAATACGGACTCGTACTATTCCGTACAAATCTTATCCCTTAATTTATGCCCTGATCCACGTGTCCTTGAGAAATTTCAGTTCTTTCTTGAGTGTCATCGAAATTGTACTGTCCTCGAGGCAGATCATGACGGGTCTCCCATTCGCTTCTCGAGGTGCGCACATCCACGCTGGGCTTGATTCTTACTTCCGAACTCGAGCTTGGGGTATGATCAAGTCTTTGAAATTGAGCTCTCCAATTTAGACCGTATACAGATAGTCCCCGCATTTCTTGGAATGAAATGATATGAAACGATTTGAATTCCCGAAGTCCTTTATGATGGCATCACTCTTATGACGTAAGCATTGAAATAACCGAAGCGTCCCATCGGTTCTTTTCCGCAAAACATTAAATGCACGTCAGAGCCAGTCGATCATCAATATAAATGAACCGTCGCCGCCTTCCTCTATAAATACTTGTTTTCTCTTCTCATTAAGAACTTTTCCACCTTGCAACACCTATTTTCCTCTATACGTTTCCTTTTCACCACCGGTTCCTCCGCTGTATTAGCTCAAAACCTCGCCGGTTTGTTCATTTCTTCCTTCTTTTTCTAAAGAACCGATGGCAAAAACTTCCAAGTTCGTTCCTCAGAAAGAAGGAACCTCTACTTCTACTTCCCGTCCGGCCGGTGGTAAACCGCCGGCGCTTCATGAGATCGTACCGAACAATTTTTCTTTGAAAAAGGACTTTATGGTCGAGAAACCTCCCGACGTCCCCGGCCGTCGAGAGCATGCATCGAGATACATAAGGTCAATTGAGAAAAAACACCTCGATGCTGTGAGGAGAGAGTGTAAATTGGAAGAGAAGGTCATTCTGCAAATACCTTCTCGTGAGGAGGACATCACAACTTACGTAGAGGGGTTCATGAGTGTGTATACATACCCCTTTACGTTGGGTCCCCTCGACTCGCTCGTGCTAGAATTCTGCCGAAGATATCAAGTCACCTGGGCCAGATTCATCCGTCCTTTTGGCGGATCGTAATAATGACGAGGTTTTTCATCGAAAAGGCTGGGCTCGAGTTCACCCTCAGCCACCTCATTCGATTATATCGACCTCAACATTTCCGAGGTTTAATCAAACTCCAACGCCGATCAACCAAGTCCATCTTTGCCAACGACGAAGACAAAGATCGAGGTTGGATGAGCCGGTTCATCCGGGTGAGGACCGTCGATGTTATTCCCAAGGAGTTCCTGCCGTTCCCCGAGAAATGGAACTTCAACGTGAGTGGAATTCTTTGCTTTAGTTCTTTCCCATAAATTTTTCTAAACTTCGCATAATTATTCCCTTCCCTTTTCCGCAGCGGTCCCGTGAATGCCTAATGTGGTCCTCGACCTCGAGGACTGGGTTCGCAAACTAGTTGCTACTTCATCATACGACAAACGCAAGTGGCGGGACTTGTCGAAGGGCAAGTAGGAATGGAAACACCATGGTAGGCGTCATAATGTTTCTTTCCTTACTAAGAATGTCTTCCTTCATGTGACCTGATTGCTCTATCGCAGGTATTGGTGAGTTCTTCAAGATGAGGCCGCCCCCACCCGGGGAGGAAGTAGGATCTTCGGCTACAAAGCCAAAAAAGGATAACAAGAGAAAAAGGTCCTCGAAGAGCGAGGACACTCAAAGCCAAGCAGAGCCCGCTCGGAGGCGCAAGAAAAGCGTCGTCATCAATGTGGATATTGACTCAGTCCACCAGTCCATGGACGATGACGGTGACGAGATGGAGGGTTCGATGTTGGTGACTCGAACCAGGAAATCTTCCGAGGCTATCAAGCCTGTTGAGATCGGGGCCCCTAGCCTTGAGGAAGGAACTTTAAAAGAAAAAGGGGATGAAGGCCCTGCATCACCTGATGTGGTAACTGCTTCTCAAACTTCTGGAAATACTCCAAAGGGAGCGAGCTTCGAAGCTCCTTTGCCTGAACAGAGCGCATCGGGTGATCTCCCCGAGGCCATGACAGCAGGTCATTCCTCGTCATTTCCGTCCTTCTCCGAGAATGCCATTAGGGATGCTCTGAACTTGAAGATGTCTGAGCTAGGTGGAGTCCCAAGTGAACACGACCCCTTCCAGGGTTGCTTTGCTGGGGTCGATGAGGCCGACCCAGCGGATGCGAGCTCAATCTTCGAGGAGGCTCAACGTCTTTGCTCAATTGTAAGTTTTTAGTGGTACTACAATTTCTCCAATGCCATACTTTTCTTCTCTTGTCTAATCGATCACTCCTTTCCTTTTTGTAGGCCTTTGACAAATTGAAGACCGAATTGCGCCATTGTGAAGCCGAGTTGCGTAGAGCTTCGAATGAAGAGAAAACCCTTAGGCTTCTCCTTGACAAAAAGGAGGAAGAACTGAAGCATATTCGATCGGAGTTGACCAAAGCTCGTGAATACGAGAGTGAGTTAGAAAAGCAGGTAACCTCTATTCTAAAAACATACGGGCTACCTTTCCTGTCTTCGAAGGCAAATACTTCAATGTCTCAGTTGCAGCCAAAGCTAGATATGATTGGGCAGCTCCGAGGCGAGGTAGATCAAGTTCGAACTGAGTGCAGTGAATGGAAGGCGAAAATGGACACCCTCGTTGTGGCTAAAAATGATGCACTAGCGAAGGTATCGGCCCTTGAGGTTCAACTTCGGAATGCTCAAGGGAGCAACTTGGTTCAGGCTGGCAGAATAGCCGAGCTCGAGGCTGGTCTTGCGAAGGCCAAGGCCGAAGTTGTGGAAGTTCGGGCCGAAGCTAGAGAAATACAAGCCAAGGCCGACAAGACGATGGTCATCTATTTTAAAGATGCTACCGATGCTCAGATGGAGTTGAGGGGGGGCTTCCGACCGAGAGAAAAGAAGCAATGACTATGCCCGACGCTGATCCCAGAGGGAGACCCTCAAAGAGGTCCATGCTAAGGGCTTTGATCATTCCGAGGAGATAAAGCAAGCTAAGGCAGATGAGGCTGATGCCAAATTTGTCCTTTCCTCCGACGATGATGATGATGTCGAAGATGATGAAGAGAAGGAGGTTGCCGAAGAAGCTACCNGGAGGGTTCGATGTTCGGTGACTCGAACCAGGAATCTCCGAGCTATCAAGCCTGTGAGATGGGCCCCTAGCCTTGAGGAAGGACTTTAAAGAAAAGGGGATGAAGGCCCTGCATCACCTGATGTGGTAACTGCTTCTCAAACTTCTGGAAATACTCCAAAGGGAGCGAGCTTCGAAGCTCCTTTGCCTGAACAGAGCGCATCGGGTGATCTCCCCGAGGCCATGACAGCAGGTCATTCCTCGTCATTTCCGTCCTTCTCCGAGAATGCCATTAGGGATGCTCTGAACTTGAAGATGTCCGAGCTAGGCGGAGTTCCGAGTGAAAACGACCCCTTCCAGGGTTGCTTTGCTGGGGTCGATGAGGCCGACCCAGCGGATACGAGCTCAATCTTCGAGGAGGCTCAACGTCTTTGCTCAATTGTATGTTTTTAGTGGTACTGCAATTTCTCCAATTCCATACTTTTTCTTCTTTTGTCTAATCGATCATTCCTTTTCTTTCTGTAGGCCTTTGACAAATTGAAGACCGAATTGCGTCATTGTGAAGCCGAGTTGCGTAGAGCTTCGAATGAGGAGAAAACCTTAGGCTTCTCCTTGACAAAAAGGAGGAAGAACTGAAGCATCTTCGATCGGAGTTGACCAAAGCTCGTGAATACGAGAGTGAGTTAGAAAAGCAGGTAACCTCTGTTCTGAAAAATACGGGCTACCTTTCCCGTCTTTGGAGGCTAATACTTCAATGTCTCAGCTGCAGCAAAAGCTAGATATGATTGGGCAGCTCCGTGGCGAAGTAGATCAAGTTCGAGCCCAGTGCAATGAATGGAAGGCGATGATGGACACCCTCGTTGTGGATAAAAATGATGCATTGGCAAAGGTATCGGCCCTCGAGGTTCAACTTCGGAATGCTCAAGGGAGAAACCTGGTTCAGGCTGGCAGAATAGTCGATCTCGAGGCTGGTCTTGCGAAGGCCAAGGCCGAAGTTGTGGAAGTCCGAGCTGAAGCCAGAGAAATACAAGCCAAGGCCGACAGGACGGTGGCCATCTATTTGAAGGATGCTACCGATGCTCAGATGGAGTTGAGGGGGGCTTCCGACCGAGAGAAAAGAAGCAATGATTATGCCCGACGCCGATCTCGGAGGGTGACCCTCGAAGAGTTCCATGCTAATGGCTTTGATCTTTCCGAGGAGATAAAGCAAGCTAAGGCAGATGAGGCTGATGCCAAATTTGTCCTTTCCTTCGATGATGATGATGATGATGACGTCGAAGATGATGAAGAGTAGGAGGTTGCTGAAGAAGCTACCCCCGGGAAGAGGCTAGTCCCGGGGGAGTGACAAGTCCGGGGGGAATGCCCCTCTGGTATAGGTAGAATCTTTTCTTTCTTTTTGTAATTTTTTGCTTTGTAGGACTCCTGTGTAATATCTTTTTGTGTATATAAAAAGGAAAGGCGTTTCCTTGACCGTTTGCCTTCAATTTTTCTTCAAAGTTTGCTTGATTTTTGATGCTATAATCTCTGAGCATTAATTCAAATTTGGGGTAGAGTAGACCCTCAAGTTTTGTGTTTTGATAAACGATCGATAATAGGTTACCACTTAAGGTTCGATCTTCAAGCTAAGTTTTAGCTCGGGACTTTTGAGTCCGAGCTGGGTAAGGTCTCGAGCATGGTGTGCTTCGGCCTTTAAGCTCTTTAAATATTGGCCCTTAGGCTCTTTAGGTTGGCCCTTAGGCGGTAGGGCCAATTCGGCCTCTAAAATGGCTATAAATTTTTCCCTCTTTCTGGCTAAAGACTTGGTGAAAATTTTGGTATGCTTTAGCATGTATTTTTTGTATTCATATTCGTTCGGTTTTTTCGAAGGTTCGATTGATTGGAACCTCGTTTTTGATTTGATATGCAACTTTAATCGAATACCTCTTCAGGTTTTTCTGAAGGCTGATGTTATCAAAGCCTTCGCATTATTCGAGGGCTGATTATATCGGAGCCCCTTATAATTTGCTTTTACCGAGGGTAGCCTGATTTAACCGGTTTTTTTGAAGTATATGAAGGCCTTTTAGTTTTATGGCGGAAGTTGGATGTCTCCGAGCGGCATTATTTCGGCCGTAGCCTTTTCATATGACTGTAGTCTTTCATATGACCGTAGCCTTTAGTCCCCAAGTGTGATGGCCTTGGCCTTAATATCGAGGGGATGCCTCTTTGAGGTCTTGTGAGCTCGAGTGTGCCTCTTTGAGGTATTATAAGTTCGAGTGTGCCTCTTTGAGGTCTTATAAGTTCAAGTGTTCGATGACTCGATGTGTCGATTGTCGATGAGAGTCCCCGAGTATTCAGGTGCATTCGGGGTTTTGGCCCTTGAGCCGTTAAATGTGAAAATAGTAGACTTCTTTGAGGCACAAAGTGTTTTGATATAATAAGAATGCTTCTTCAAATAATTGATACATGTGTACATGTTTTGCCACTGGGGGCTCGACTATTCTGCATGGACACGGTTTATTTGACCGTTTGGCCCATTACAACATTCCCCTATCGAGGCCCTCCTTGGCATGAATTGCTTTCTTCGAGAATGCGTCCTCCGAGGGTGATGCCCCCCAGTGTTTGAGGTTGATTGAAAAGAAGCCTTGAATACTTGTTGAATGTTCCTTAGGTAGCATATAGGTGTTGACTCGTTAAAAACCTTGCCGGTAAAACCCATTTGGGATAAAACCCGATCTAAGGGAAAAAGAGTGCAACGCATGCTTTAAAACCCAAGGTCTTCGAGTTGAAAGGTGCCTCGATGTTTCCAATCGAACATCTGCAAGGAGTTAGTTTTAAATACAAATGGAAAAGGGAGAAGGTCATACCTCAGCAGTAATAACGTTTGAGCAACGATACATTCCAATTGTTTGGTAGTTGCTCGCCTTCCATTGTGCTAAATTTGTAGGATCCTTTCCCTATGACTCCGAGCACACGGTACGGTCCTTCCCAATTGGGGCCTAGTTTCCCTTCGTTTGGGTCTCGAGTGTTGAGAGTGACTTTCCTTAGGACTAAGTCCCTGACTCCGAAATATCGAAGGTTCGTCCTTCTATTGTAATACCTTTCGATCCTTTGTTTTTGTGCGGCCATTCGAATTAATGCGGCCTCACGTTTTTCATCTAGTAGTTCGAGAGAAGTGTTCATAGCTTCATGATTTGAGTCTTCTGTGGCATGCTGAAACCTGACGCTAGGTTCCCCGACTTTGACAGGATCAATGCTTCGGACCCGTATACCAAAGAAAATAGGGTCTCCCCCGTGCTCGACTTTGACGTCGTTCGATATTCCCATAGCACCTCGGGCAATACTTCTCTCCATTTCCCCTTTGCATCATCTAACCTTTTCTTTAAGTTTCGAATGATGGTTTTTTTTTGTGGACTCGGCCTGACCATTTGCACTTGGGTGGTAAGGCACTGATAGAATCTTTTTGATTTTATGGTCCGCGAGGAATTTGGTCACTTTGCTACCGATGAATTGTTTCCCATTTTCACATACTATTTCGGCAGGTATCCCGAACCGACATATGATGTGGTCCCATATGAAGTCGATGACTTCTTTTTCTCTTATCTTCTCGAACGCCTGCGCTTCTACCCATTTTGAGAAGTAGTCAGTCATAAACAAAATAAATTTAGCTCTACCTGGCGCCGTTGGTAGGGGGCCGACGATGTCCATCCCCCATTTCATGAATAGCCACGGGGATAGGACCGAATGGAGTTGTTCACTGGATTGATGGATCATCGGTGCAAATCTTTGGCATTTATCACACCTTCGAACAAACTCCTTGGTATCCTTTTCCATGTTATCCCAATAATACCCCGCTCTGATCACCTTGCGAACCAAAGAGTTGGCACCAAAATGGTTTCCACAAGTGCCATCGTGGATTTCTCGTAATACATAATTAGTGTCCCCGGGTCCCAAGCACACTGCCAGTGGTCCATCGAAGGTTCTTCTATACAACGTTCCATTTTCATCGAGTGAGAATCAAGCTGCTTTGGCTCGAAGTGCTCTCGACTCTTTTGGGTCCGTGGGGAGCTTCCCATGCTTCAAGTAGTCGATGTACTTATTCCTCCATTCCCACGTTAAACTTGTTGAATTAATTTCTGCATGGCCTTCTTCGACCACCGACCTCGATAGTTGGACGAGAGTCCCCGGGACGATATCATCTTCTTCAATCGATGACCCCAAGTTCGCAAGTGCATCAGCCTTGCTATTCTGTTCTCAAGGTACATGGTCTAGTGTCCATTCCTTGAAGCGGTGCAATGTCACTTGAAGTTTGTCTAAGTACCTCTGCATTCGATCGTCTCGAACCTCGAAGCTCCCGTTTACTTGATTTACCACCAAAAGGGAGTCACACTTTGCCTCGATGACCTCTGCTCCAAGGCCATTGTCTAGTTCGAGACCTGCAATCATGGCCTCATACTCGGCCTCATTGTTAGTCAATTTAGAAGTTTTGATAGATTGCCTAAGCACACTGCCCGTAGGTGGTTTTAAAATGATGCCGAGCCCGGATCCTTTCACAATCGAGGCAGCGTCTGTGAAGAGGGTCCATACCACCGATGACATACCTATTTTTAGCAAGAGTTCCTTTTCTACTTTGGGTACGAGAGTAGGCGCGAAATCGGCCACGAAGTCTGCCAAAATTTGAGACTTGATAGCCGTTCGAGGCTGATATTCGATATCGTACCCTCCAAGTTCGATGGCCCATTTGGCCAATCTGCCCAATAATTCGGGCTTATGTAAGACACTTCAAAGTGGGTACGTAGTCAATACACATATAGGATGGCATTGAAAATATGGTTTTAATTTCCTAGATGCGCTTATTAATGCAAGAGCTAACTTTTCCAAATGTGGGTACCTGGTTTCAGCATCTCCTAGGGTCCGACTCACATAATAGACAGTAAATTACGTACCTTGCTCCTCTTGAACCAACACGCCACTTACCGCCACCTCAGATACGGCTAATACAAGTAGAGTGTTTCATCCTCCTTCGGAGTATGGAGCAGGGGTGGGCTCGAGAGATACCGTTTTAATTCTTCCAAGGCTTGTTGGCACTCCGGAGTCCATATGAAGTTGTTCTTCTTCTTGAGTAGGGAAAAGAAATGATGGCTCCGATCTGAAGACCTCGAGATAAATCGGCCTAGGGCAGCTATCCGTGCGGTCAGCCGTTGTACGACTTTCACATTATTCACTACAGCGATTTCCTCGATGGCTTTGATTTTATTGGGGTTGATCTCGATACCCCTGTTCGACACCATGAAGCCCAAGAACTTGCCCAAGCCGACTCCAAAAGCGCATTTCCCGGGGTTGAGCTTCATGTTGTACTTTCTTAGGATATCGAACGTCACCTGCAAATGGGTCAAATGGTCCTCTGCGCGCAGGGACTTAACTAGCATGTCATCAATATAAACTTCCATGGATTTTCCTATTTGATGTTCGAACATCTTATTAACTAGGTGTTGATATGTGGCTCCTGCATTTTTTAGCCCGAAGGGCATTACATTATAACAATACGTACCATACTTCGTCATGAACGAAGTCTTTTCCTGGTCCTCCGGGTTCATTTGAATTTGGTTGTACCCGGAGTAGGCATCGAGAAAAGTAAGGATCTCGTGGCCTGCCGTAGC